ACGGAGCGTTTCCGGCGGGCGAAGGCCGCGAAGGCGCACTGCAAGGAAACGGCCTTCCTGAATTTTTAATCCGGTCGTTTGACGTGCCCGGCACTGCCCGGCACTGCCTGCGTTGCCACTCGTGTGCTGAAGCCGACTGAAGCAGTTTCTCTTTGTACTCGCCGGGCCTCCCACGCTTTGTCCCCCTTTTTCATTTGTTTTGCTACACTTTTCATTATTATTGCGTTTTTGTTTTGCGTATGTTTCATTCTTTTTTAGACCGCACGCAGATTTTGCTAGAATGTCGGAATGGAGCGCATGATGGTTTCGGTTCAGAGGCGCGGCGCTTCCTTTCCACTGAGCGGGCTTTTAGCCTTCATAAAAGCGAAATTAAAAGAAGAAAACGCGATATAAATTGAAACAGTGAAATAGTAAAAACGCCGCAGGTATGAAAGAAAAGTCGTCCCGGGAGAAATTTAAGGCTTCGGCTACACAGACTGTACTTCAGAAACCGTGTCGTATTGTCGTTTTGTTTTTGTTTTCAACGATTTCGCACGTCTTTCCACCTCTTGATTCCCACAAAAGCCTCATGTTTCCGCGCTCCACTTTTTCACTCCGCCCTCATATGCCGCCATACATCGGCCCGCGGACTCGCACGGGCAGGCCATTCGTTTCATGTCCGAATAATTGAATGATGGCGCGTGCGCGTCCGGCCCGCTGTCTGCACACCCTCCTTTTTCCCCCTCTTTCCCTCTTCCTCATTTGTTACCGCGTCTCCCTTTCCCGGGAAGCGCCTGCGATGCGCGGGGTAGGCTGTCCCGCGATGCACCGGCGTGTTGCGGGACCGAGGGGGTAAACACTTGCGTAATACCCTGTACACAAAAGTCGGGTATTACGCCGTAATACGCGTAATAGTAATACATTTTGGGACCATAAGTATCAAATAATGGCATTTTTAATGAAATCGAGGCGTAATACATGCGTAATACAAGTGTAATACCCCGTAATAGGGAGTAGTCTGTACAAGCTTCAACGGAGTGTTTACCCCCTCGGGTCAAACACGGCACGCGGGGCGACGCGGCTGGGATGGCGGGATGAAAAATAGGCGCGGCACGTCGCCGTCGGCGGGCCCTGCCCGGATGGATTCGTCAAGGCGACCGGCGCGCCATCTGGCGGGAAATGATGACGGACTAGTGCAATAATGGCTTCTTCTTCTTCTTCTTCTTCTTCTTCTTCTTCTTCTTCTTCTTCTTCTTCTTCTTCTTCTTCTTCTTCTTCTTCTTCTTCTTCTTCTTCTTCTTCTTCTTCTTCTTCTTCTTCTTCTTCTTTTTCTTCTTCTTCTCCTTCTTCTCCTTCTTCCTCTTCTTCTTCTTCTTCTTCTTCTCGTCCTCCTCTTCCTCGTCCTCCTCCTCCTCCTCCTCCTCCTCCTCCTCCTCCTCCTCGTCCTCCCTCTCCTCCCGCAGGGATGTGGCTGCAAGGCGGGCGGGCCGCCGTTGGAGGATGAGGAATTGCTCAGTCCGCACTTTGAGGAGGGCAACTTTTCCCGCCAAAGTAATTGGTGGTAATCCGGTGTGCGGCCGACGCAGCAGTTTTGCTTTCCGAGCAGCCAGTGGCCGGGCGTTTGACCGTCTGCGTCTGGGACGCGCTGCCCGTACGGTGTCCACTGGTAATCAAGCGCACTTTTCGAAAAGGAAATTACTCGTGTACTGGTAGGATCAACATTCATTTGACATTGATTTTTCGAAAAAAAAAAAAAAAGGATTTGATTTGACATTGATTTTTTGAAAAAAAAAAATGATTTGACTTGACATTGATTTTTCGAAAAAAAAAATGCTTGTATATGTACTGGTATGGTCAACATAAATTTGACATTGAATTTTCAAAAAAATAAAATGTTGGCTGGTATGGTCAACATCGATTTAACAGTGAGGTGGTCGTGCCGTACGATGCTCTTTTTCCCAACCCGTTGGTGGGGGGTGGGGATCGAAATGTCGGTCGCATTGCCGATTCTGCAGCATTGACCTGACTCAACAACTTCTTAAAGCTTTCGGAGGCCGCACTGCATTTTGATTCCCTTCTTCTCTCTTTTTCCCCCTTGCCTCGCTTCTCCCGCCCCATCCCCCTCCCTACCTGCGCCGGTCCCGGCTTACCGCCCAAATCCTCCTGGAAAACAAACAAAACCGGAGTCAAACTTCGCGAAGGAGGAGTGAGAAACGTTGTGGGGTCTGAGGGGGTCAGCGAGGCAGTGCGTTATCTAGCGTCCAAAACCCAACCAAAACCAAAAGAAAAAAAACTAAACAGGAATCGAACCGAACGTGTGACCCTACCGATGGATTCCTCGTCTGGAGAGCAATCCATCGGTGGGGTCACGCGTTCGGCTCGTGTCCTGCTTGGCGACTCTGGAGCTCAAAACGCGTCTAGAGTTTTGGCCGCCTGCGCCGTTCTCCTGGCCCACTGTGGCCCGCCGGGCTCGCCGGGCTCGCTGCTGGCTGGCTTGTCGAAGCTAACGTACAGCCACCGCTCGCTACATAATTTACGCAAGGGTCGGGTCGTGGCGGGGTGAGGCGGGCCAAGGCGTCGCCCTCGCCAAATTTACAGTCCCGAGGCGCCGGGGCAAAAACCCAAAACCCCAGAGCGCAGCTGGTGTTTGAACCCGCGACCCTGCGTCTCGCACACTCAATTTTCATTGCGGCCGCCAGGCAGGCGGAGACGCGAGGCGCCGAGTGCAGCAAAGCGTGGCCGTGTGTGTGTGTGTTTGTGTGTGTGTGTGTGTGTGTGTGTGCGCGCGCGTGTAGGTGTGGGGGGGGGGCATGTAAGGTCGGGAAGGCAAGTGTTTGTGCAGGGGCTGTACTGCATCTGTAGTGCGCACGCTGTCGGTGCATGTGTGTGTGTGTGTGTGCGCGTGTGTGTGTGTGTGGTCCTTGATCCCCCTGTCTTCCAGCTCCCCGCAGGGCGTGGCGGGGTGGGGCGGGGCGTGGCGGGGTGCGCGCTGTTCCGTGGGTTCCGTGCCGCTCGTGGGAAGTGGGGCACGTCGTCTGCTGCCGATTCTCTCGCCGCCCCACTGCGAGTAGGGCTCCGGATCGAGCCCCGCCGAGCCCTGGCCCCTTTACGGTGGCCCTACGCCGCGGGGCGGCACCGCAGGCGGCAAGGCGGCACAGTGGGCCGAGGCCCGCCAAGACTCAAAACGCGTCGCGTCACATTTGCGGGCCCCATTATTGATGAGCGACAGATGCATGAATGAGTAGAGACGCTTCGTCGCCGGAAGGGGGGAGGGGCAGAGAGACGCAATTTGATGCAACCGTGGGGTCCGGGCGGCGGTGCCAATCGTCCCAATCGTCCCAACGCCTGTTTAACAATCAGCCCCCTGCGACCTGCACTAGGAAGGGGTGGGGGTCCTGTTAGTGCCTCGCCCGATTCGCCCGGCCCGCTCTTTCCAATTTGAATACTGTCTGTGCAAACCTCAAACAAGTTACGTCCGCTTGATCTCATTCTCGGAGCCCCACGGCTCGGCCTCCAGGACCGGATGGCGGCCGCGCAAAACTTTTGCACGACAAAGTGCTTGACTTCGGTTCGGAGTGGGCTCCTCAAGGGACAAACGGGTTTGCGTAAAAACGCGACCCGCAGCCGGGAGTCGAACCCGGTACCTTGGTGGCCGCGTGGCGCCGCGCTATCCACTACGCTGCGGTGCTTGCGGTCCCAGTCCTTAACTAACACGAGGCTGGCGGGGCAGGCCGGCCGTGAAACGAGCGTTATGAGGGCGGTGTGCAAACAAAGCGCATTTACCGTCTCTCTCTCTCTCTCTCTCTCTCTCTCTCTCTCTCTCTCTCTCTCTCTCTCTCTCTCTTTTTCTTTCTCTTTCTCTCTTTCTCTCTCTCTCTCCCTCTCTCTCTCTCCCTCTCTCTCCCTGGAGGCCCTCTCACTGCAAAAAGGGGGAAATGCAAGTAGGAAGGCCCGAGTTATTGCCCCGTTTTGGAAAACAAGCCGTCTGGAAGTGCTCCGCTCGCTGCGCGTTTGCTGCGCCCCGCCTCGTACGCGGCCACGCGGTGCATCGATCTCTCCGTTTCCGGTTCGCCTCCTCGGTTTTCATTCGGGACGAGATGGGAAATTCCTTGCCTCAGACGCGATGACGCCTCTTCCCTCGCAGCGCTGTCGGCCCCGGCCACAAGACCAGAAGGCAACGCGCGTTTTGAGCTCCAGAGTCGCTAAACAGGACTCGAACCGAACGTGTGATCCCACCAATGGATTGCTCTCCGAACGAAGAGTCCATTGGTGGGGTCACACGTTCGGTTCGAGTCCTGTTTAGCGACTCTGGAGCTCAAAACCCGCCGGGGATTTCGGACCGCCTCCGCCGGCCTTCTGGCCCACTGTGCGGTCGGCTGTTCAAGTGACAGCGACAGAAACGGGGTCTTTTATTTGGTGGAGGTCTTGGACTGAGATGGCCCCTGGAGCCTGGTGCGCTGGAGCTTCGGAGCCTGGTCCACTCCAGCCTCCTGATTGCGACGCGATTAAACGAGCCACCTGATCTGTCTCTCTCGCACCAACGCGGCACGTCCGCGAGTGCGAGAGAGACGGAGCGACGAGTCGGGCAGTCAATACTGGAGGATCTGTCTGGCGGCTGGCTTCGAGTAATGGTGTCCTGTCGGGGATAAACGACAGTCGAAAAAAGGAACGCGTTTCCGAGCTATATTTTATACTTCCGGATGCGGTGCACGGATTCGTCTTCGCCTGGCGTACATTTTTACAGTGTGGGGCACAGGCTGCTGCTGGTTTTGTTATCAGTGTACATCCCAAGTCCAAGACAGCAAGTGAATTTGCGTAATTGTTTCAAATAAATTTACTGGTCGCTGGTAAATTTTCTCCGTTTAAAAATCGTCTGTGTTGGGTGCAGTAGCCGTTTTTGGAAGGGTTGGCTGGCAGGCAGGCGGGGCACAGTGCTTACCGCTAACAACGACCTCACTTGAATATTCTTTCTTTTTTTTTCATTTTTTACAAGCGAATAACGACGTCTTATTTTTTTCTTGCAGACTACCGTTCCATTTGATTGGCTGGAAGGAAGCAGGGCGGGCAGCAATAAGCGGTGAGTCCCCGCCCCACCCCACCCCGCCCCACCCCGCCCCGCCAGGGAAAAATGACCACACCCTTCGGCCTGTTTTGAGGGCGACGAACGCCTGCCGGAGTTTTTTTTCGGCAGTGTTTTGCAACGAAGACGTTGTCGCTCCGATCCGTAGGACCCACCGAGCCGATTCATAATGGACGCATTTACTGTTTCTCTCTCTCTCTCTCTCTCTCTCTCTCTCTCTCTCTCTCTCTCTCTCTCTCTCTCTCTCTCTCTCTCTCTCTCTCTCTCTCTCTCTCTCTCTGCGCCGCGCCGAACTGCGGAGACCCCGACTTGGCGGTGGGTGTGGTCACGGGACCATCCGAACATTGTCTGCCCAATAATTCAGGCCATTTCACGGTGGGCATGCCCGGCAGAGATGCCCGGCAGGGATGCCCAGCAGGGCTCACGCCAAGGGGGACATATGCTTCGTGGTTTACTGACCGAACCACCCATACACTGCCAGAAAAAAAAAGGTTCTTTCTCTCGTGTTTTTGTTCAATCTCTATCCGCGCGCTCATCTTTACCTCCACCTTCCGCGCTACCCCTCTCTCCCCTTCCCCTTCCCCCTGTCCTCCGCGTCCCCTCCTCCCTCCGTCCGTCCCTCTCTTATCCTTCCATCTCTCTTCCTCGCCTTGATGAGATGCATTAGCCCTCTGCCGGATGCTCGGGGCGCCGCCGTGATTAGCGGAGAGAGAGAGAGAGGACGAGTTCGGCAACGCCACGAGAAGTCGTTGGATCAAACACTGTTTCTGCATACGACCAGTGGCGCCATCAGCACGACCAACATTGGCCACACAAAGTGGGCCAGAAGTGGTCAAAATCTCGGACGCGTTTTGAGCTCCAGAGTAGATGAATGGGCCTCGAAGCGAACGTGTGACCCCACCAATGGATTGCTCTCCGAACGAGAAATCCATTGGTGGGGTCACATTCTCGGTTTAGCGACTCTGGTGCTCAAAACGCGTCTAGCGTTTTGGGCGCCTCGCCGGTCTTCTGGCCCACTGTGCCACAGCCTGTGTGTCCGTCTGGACCAGTGGCGCCGCCAGTGCGACGCAAAGGATGATGAAAAGTTTTATTGTGGCGACCAGATAAAAGAATACGAAAAGGCTTTGGTTTTGCTGCCTGACTTTTATCTCGGCGTTTGGTTCTGACGGCACCACTGCGGGGCTGAGCCCGGAGCTTTGTCGCAATCCCCCGCCCGAAAGGTGGGCCGGTGGGGCGATACTCGCAAAAACGGCCCCGTGCGCTGTTGTCGTCAAATGCACCACTTCTGTGACGAGAGGTAAGAGGTGACTGGCACGTTGACCTCATCATTCATGCTGACCGCGAGACTCTGTGATGTATTCGCTGGCTTGCCCGGCTTGCCTGGCGCTGTGGGGCCTGGCTCGGCTCGGCTCGGCTCGGCTCGGCTCGGCTCGGCTCGGCTCGGCTCGGCTCGGCTCGGCCCAACGGAAGCCGGATGTTTCTGCTGGGACGGACTCCGGGCTCGGTTCCGGGCCGAGGTGCCGAAGGGACCTGGCCGAATTTCATGTTTGAGCGCCTCACCTAATTTGCACATCTCGGGCAGCCAGCTCGGCCTGGCACACAGTGGGCCAGAAGACCGGTGCGGCTGGCCAAAAACCCTGGACGCGTTTTGAGCTCCAGAGTCGCTGAATGGGATTCGAACCGAACGTGTGACCCCACCAATGGATTGCTCTTCGAACGAGGAATCCATTGGTGCACTGCAAGGACGCTCCCCACGATCGATATCTCGACATGGGGGTTGCTACCCGGTCACTCCGACAGCCCTTTTCATTCGAGAGCCACCTGCCGCCAGCGCTCATGCAGTGAGTGTCGCGCCGAGACGACCAGGGCGAGCAACAGTTGGCCGGTACCACAGCCACCGCAGCGCAGCCAGTGCCACGTCGCCGCGAAGGTTAGGTTAGCCGACAAACTCAGAGCCCATTGTGGGCCCGGAGAAGAGGCTTTGGCTGCCAGCCGTCTCTCTCTCTCTCTCTCTCTCTCTCTCTCTCTCTCTCTCTCTCTCTTCTCTCTCTCTCTCTCTCTCTCTCTCTCTCTCTGACCCTGGCGAGGCGGCCCGCGAGTGCGAGAGAGACGGAAGCAGTCGGCCTGGCCCGGCCTGGCCCGCCCAGGACCAGCCCACGGCCCAGGGGGCTGCCAGCAGCCTGCCAGCTCGGGCGGCCCGCCTGAGACGGGATCAGACGCGATCAGCGCCTTGCCAATGCTTCGCCAATGCCTCGCCTACAGTGTGCTGCCGCCGCGGCCGCCTCACCGGCTCGCCGTCTGGCGGCGATGTCTGTCTGAGACCGCACCAACTTCGCTTCGTGTTCTCCCTGCAAATTTTAATGTCGATTTCGAAGGGGCGCCTCGATTGCCGTCCGCTTCAAGTGCTTCGTTCATCGATCACTATTTTTTTCCGCACTAGAATTTTTTATTTTTCATTTTTTCTTTTCTTTTTTATGAGTATTATTTTTTTTGTACTGCCGGTGCTTTCACGTTAAAATTTTGAAACTTTGCGCATATTGTTTTAAGTTTTGTTTTCCTCCGATATTCAAATTTGAAGTAACGTATGTCGGTGTTGTTTTCGTTGTCCTGCCAGAACACCGGCTTACCGCGACAGTAAAGTTCCCCGTTGCCGCCGAGCTTTCTCGCCGCGGCGTGGAGGCCAGGCATCTCGGTGGATCGGCCTCGCCATACACGCGCTGGATCCTCCCCGATCCCCCCCACACAGAGCCGCCAAACTACTCGCGTGATTTCTCCCTCCCCCTTCCTCTCTCTGTCTCTCTCCCTCCCTCCGGTGGGACCACGAGCCGCTTCGTGGACGTTTCCTTCAACATCCCCCACCCCTCTTCCTAACTCCATCCGCATTTCCCGAGTGGCTGGTATCCTTTGTCGTTTGGAACGCGGCATAGTCACGACGACTGAGATGGACCAATCAATGCTCGGGCACAATCAGCAAGCGCAGGCGGCCGAAACTCGTTCGGTTCGAGTCCCATTTAGCGACTCTGGAGCTCAAAACGCGCCCTAGATTCTGGTCGCCTCCACCGGTCTTCTGGCCCACTGTGAGCGTGCTTTGGCGCTACCGCGAGCCACTTATCATGCTGCCCGCGCGCCACACTGCCAGGGAAGCCAGGAGTTTCGTTTGTTTGAAATGTATGGCGCTGCGAGTTCCGGCATTTTGGTTCCCTTTTTTCGGTCAAACCGCCCTTCTGGCCGTGTTTCGCTCGTTTGCTTATTTCCTTGGCGTTTCTGTCATTTTTGCATGGTGACAGTGTTGATTTTTAACCGGGTTTTTCGTACCGGACGAGTCTCCGCGAACTTTGCCGCCGACCCTGGCCAAACTCCGAAAAGGTCTCGGAAATAAAAGATTAGTCAGACCCTTTTTTTTTTTACTTTTTTTCTGGTTTTACATTCCGGGAGAAAGTTAGGGGTGTAAATGATTGGGGTCCAAGGACGCGGGAGAAGAGAGGTGTGTGTACCGAGGGTTCCAAGTGGGTGCAAACAAAGAGAAAATGAAAGGGCCGATACGGCGTCGCTCCTGGCGAAGCCTGGCGAAGGGCGCCCAGTATTGTTTCCAAGATACGAGGTCCAGAGAGGGAGAGAGGGGGGGGGGGGATGTCCGAGCATATAAAAGGGGACGCTGACGCTGGTTGCCGTCATTTCGAGGGACGCAGCGAATCGTTCCTCTCTCTCTCTCTCTCTCTCTCTCTCTCTCTCTCTCTCTCTCTCTCTCTCTCTCTCTCTCTCTCTCTCTCTCTCTTCCGCTCAGCCCAACCGAGAGGCCCCTTTGAAGTCTCGCGGGCGTCCTTACTTGCAGAAAGATAAGACACTGCAGACACGCAGATTTAACGCGCGCGCGCATTTTCCGTTTTTTTTTCAAAAAAGTGAAAAAGAGAATATTATTTTTGAAATGGTGTGCAGTGTAGCGAGACTCCGCCTTTGAGCCGCACGCCGCGACAATTGCGGGGCGTAGTTCGCGACTCTGCCGCGGGCGGCGCCGTTGATGTGGTGGGTGTACGCAGTGTAGGCACACGGTGTGGGCACGGCGTGGCGAGAAAGTCAGAGCCCGCTGCAGGTGGCTACACTGCCAGTCGCTAGCAACGTGTTCAATTTTTCACAATAAATTGCGACCGCAAATTTGATGAAGGCTGGATATCCCTTTTAGAAATGATGTCCACTACATGTAGAGTATGTTCTCACTGAAACAAAAAAAAAGGGGGGAGCAAAAAAAAAGTTCCCGATGTGGGTTTCGAACGCGTGATCCGATGACTCGGTGTCGGGCGCGCTGACCGCTGAGCTAATGAGCCACGCCAGGCGGGCGGCGCAGTGGCAGGTGTGCTGGAATAAAGGGCGGCTGGCTAGGCGCAAGCGGCGCACGCGGCGCAAGGAGATGAAGCAAATCGATAGAGGCTGACCCCGCCCGCCCCGCCGCCCCGCCCCACTCGACCCTCCCGGACCACACCACGCAGTGCCGTGCCGCGCCGCGCCGTGCCGTGCCACACAGGGAGCCGACGCCTCACGGGTTGCCTACCTGCCGTGTTATTCCTGGGCGGCGCTGCACAGTGGACAGTGGACCAGAAGACCGGCGCCGCCGGCCAAAACTCTAGACGCGTTTTGAGCTCCAGAGTCGCTCAATAGGACTTGAACCAACCGTGCGACCCCACCGATGGATTGCTCGTTCGGAGAGCAACCCATTGGTGGGGTCACACGCTCGGTTCGAGTCCCATTTAGCGACTGTGGAGCTGATAACGCGTCCAGAATGTCTCCACCGGTCTTGTGACGGAAAGCCCGACAGTGGAGCAAAGCCCCATTTGGTGGCGCCACTTGGCAAACGTCACCACGCGGCCGGCCGGGCCGGGCCGGGCAGCCCCCCTATGGACTCTTGGTCATGCTGGGTCTGGCCTAGGCCGGCCCTAGCCGTCCTGATCCCTTCGAGCGCGCGGGGTGGGGGAGGGGAGGGGGAGGGGAGGGGGACTGAAGCTCTAGGAGCCCCTTTACCGGCCGTTCACGCGGGCAAACCACGACACTGCCACGCACACTGCCACCGGCCCCTCCCTCGCCGGGTGCCTTGAAGCCGGCGACGACGGTACTGGCATGAATGGACTGTTCGCGTTTGATGTTTCCAACGCGCCAATGAACCCTAGCTGACATTTCAAAAAAAAACTACCAAATTTTGAAAGTGAGTTTGATTAAGAGCTTTGGCAGTGTGGCGGCGCTGAACCCTTCTCTCCGGCCGGGGCCCTCCAGGGCGCCTCCAGGGCCCCTCTTTTTAAGGGCCACCGCGATAATCGAAGGCAGCCGGGAGGAGAGGCAAAAAACGCTTAAAAAGACAAACAGACGATTGTCTGGGGCAGCCAGCCCGGCCAGCGCTCTGGCAGCCCCGGCAGCCCGGGGCAACAGCTGCCGTAAATCTCCCCATTGTGAAGCCCTTCATGCCTCGGCCGGCCCTCCAAGGGCTGGAAGCTCCAAGGGCTCGAAGCTCGTAGGGCTGGAAGCTCGTAGGGCTCGAAGCTCGACGGGTCCAAAGCTCGAAGGGCACAAAGCTCGAACAGTTCGAAGCTAGAGGGACTCAAAGGGCTCGAAGCTTGAAGGGCTCGAAGGGCTTGAAGCTCCAGGGGCTGGAAGGGCCAAGCTCCAAGGGCTGGGAGGGCGAAAAAGGCGTCCCTATCAAGCCGGGGCAGCTAATCTGGAGCGCCCTCTGAAAGCCGTCATCCCGGTCCGTCCGGTCCGCGGCTCCGTCCCGGCCGGCATGATTACAGGTGGGAAGAGCGGCGTATGTCGCGCGGGGAGGGCGGCAGGTACGCCGTCTGAGCGCACAATGCGCCCTCCCTCTGTGAGTGCGAGAGAGACGGAGCGTCGCTAATTAGCCAGTCCTTATGGCTTTATCCCTCACGTCTGCCGATTGACTGGGCCGGGCGCTGAGCCCTGCCCGTCCCTGCCCGTCCCCTGCCCGCCTCGCTAAGCACGGTCGCCGGACAGGGTTCCCAGAACAGGGTTCCCGGACAGGACCGCGCCACTCTGAGCGGATTCCCCGCGGCACCACCATTTGTCACCACTTCAGGCCGCGCTGGCCGCGCTGCCGTGCCCTCGTGACTCATTGGCCACTCGAAAGGCGGCCAGTGTCGCGTCCAATCGGTTTATTGCGCTCGACTGCGGTCCGCGAGGGCTGCCGGCAGCGTCGTCATGTCACTTAAAAGGGGGTCTCAGCGTCGGCTTTGTCAACATTGTCGACTTGGTAAAAATTGACAAAATCGTCAAAATTGTCGACGTTGTCGAAATTGTGAAAATTGTCGACGTTGTCGAAATTGTGAAAATTGTCGACTTTGTCAAGATTGTAACTGGCACGGCTAGGAGCCCTGGCCGAAGAAGGTGGCCGAGCCCGAGGCCCGGGCCTTGACCTCGGCGGCCTCGCCCTCCTGCCAGCGACTGCGCAGCGACATGCGGTACTCGGGCGGCAGCCCGTTGATGCGCGCGAACAGCTCGGTGCAGCGGCTGCGCAGTGTGTCGTCCGGCATGAGGCGCAGGATGCGCTGCTGCGGCGACTCGGCCTCCTCGTCGTCGCCCAGGATGGAGGGGTTCTCCAGCGCCTCGGCGATCTGCAGCAAAACACGGTGGAGGCGGTCGCAACCCCGGACGCGTTTCGAGCGCCAGAGTCGCTAAATGGTCCTCGAACCGAACGTGTGACCCCACCAATGGATTGCTCGTTCGGAGAGCAGTCCATTGGTGGGGCCACACGTTCGGTTCGAGTCCATTTTAGTGCACTCACCCCGTGCAGCATCTCCAGGACGTACTCGTCCTGCAGCGAGTCCGCCAGCTCGATGGCCTCGCGGATGGTGGTCTTGGCCTCGATGCGCGTGTTGAGGTGCAGCTCCGCCTTGCACAGCTCCACGGCGGCCACCACGGCCCACACAGTGTAGCCGACCTGCGCGACCAGGTTCAAAATCGTCCGGCGGTTTCACGGTGTGAGACGCTAAATGGGGCTCTCGGAGCTCAAAACGCGTCCGGGACATTGACGGCCTCCACCAGTCTTCTGGCCCACTGTGCGCACCTCTCTGGCCATGGCCAGGGCCTTCCTGGAGTGGTTGAGCGACTGCTCCCAGCGGTGCAGCTTGCTGCAGCAGTGCGCCAGCTCGAAGGTGATGCACAAGCGCTCCAGCTTGGACCGGGCCTTCTTGAGTCGGCGCTCCGCCTTGCGAACGGAGCCCCTGCAACGCGAGCAACACTGTCAAGTGCACTGTCAAGCACAGTGGGTTCGAGGCCCCTTTAGCGACTCTGGAGCTCAAAACGCGTCGAGAGTTGCCTCCACCGGTCTTCTGGCAAGTCCACTGTGGAAGGGTGGAGACACTGACACGTAGTCGAAGAACGGCATGGCGGCGCCGATCATCATGACGTCCCTGCCCTCGCCCGTCTGCAGGATGGTGTGGATCTGCTGGCGCTTCTGCCTGGCGCGCGCCTCGGGCTCCGTCTCCGTCAGCGACAGCATGCCCCACTTCATGTAGGCGATGCCGATCAGGTTGTACAGCATGGCCTGGTAGTCGCCCCTGCCGGCCGGAGGCCGCCGTCAGCCAGCACGCGTCACCGGTGGAGGCGGCCAAAACTCCAGGCGCGTTTTGAGCTGCAGAGTCGCTAAACGGGACTCGAACCGAACGTGTGACCCCACCAATGGATTCCTCGTCCGGAGAGCAATCAATTGGTGGGGTCACACGTTAGGTTCGAGTGCCATTTAGCGATTCTGCAGCTCAAAACGCGTCCGGGATTGTGGCGGCCTCCACAAGTCTTCTTGCAAATCCACTGTGCGTTTCAACAAACTGCCGGCCCTACTTGGTGGGCAGCACGCGGGTGGTGGTGTTCTCGAAGAAGTCCCTGGCGGCATCCAGGGCCTGACCGAAGAGGCGCGGGTCGCCCCGCTCCTGGATGGTGATGATGCGCAGGATGGCCTTGGTGGCGTCCTCCAGCGCCTTGGCGCGGCGCGCGGCCAGCTCGGCGTCGCGGCGCTCGCGCAGCTCGGGCGAGACGCGGACCTCGACGCGGTGCTGGATGGCGTACAGCGGGCACTCCTCCTCCATGTAGTCCTGGAACGCAATGCCCCGACATGCCGGAGGAACACAGTGGGCCAGAAGACCGGTGGGGGCGGCCAAAACTCCAGACCCGTTTCGAGCTCCAGAGTCGCTAGCCGGGACTCGAACCGAACGTGTGACCCCACCAATGGATTTCTCGTTCGGAGAGCAATCCGTAGGTGGGGTCACACGTTTGATTCGAGTCTCATTTAGGGATTTTGGACGCCTCCGCCGGATTTCTGGCCCACTGTGCAGCGTCGACTCGGCACGCGCGCATGTCCGCCCCTGTTCCCCCACCCCTCCTTAGCAGGCCCTCCATGCCCACTCACAGGAATGAGCGGGTTAAAGCGGCTCGACATGCATTCCACAGCCCGAGGGACGTCCGTCGTCGTCCGAGGCATTTTTGTTGTCGTGGGGGAAGGCGCCGCCGGCGTGGAGGATGCAGCCCTGGCCGTCCCCTCCATTCCCATTGAGCCACTACACTGTGCACTCCCTCTCGAGTATCTAGGCCTTTTTTTGCAGTGCTCCTCCTCTCCAGCCCTGCTCACCCTATGCCCACTTACACCCCGAGCCACCGCTGGCGCTCGCTTCGACGGCGCGGTTAGCGGCGTGGCTTGGACGGCCCGCTAGGTGTCCCCTCCGGTGTGGCGGCATTCCAGCGACCCCCCTGGCCCTGCCGAGGTTGCGCTCTCGCCAGCAGTGGCGTGAATTATTTCTCAACTACGAGGCGGCGGCAATTTATACTTTTTTGTGTGTTGGTCCCGCTGCCGCGCTGCCGCCGCCGCACGGCGGGGTGTAAATACTTTATTTCACGGCCACGCTTTGTTTGGGAACAGTGCCGAATCTGGCGAGTGTAGCGGCCGGGATGCTTGCTCGGATGAGCGACGACGGGGAGGTGGAAGCCGGTGGAGGCGGCCAAAACTCTAGACGCGTTTTGAGCTCCAGAGTCGCTAAGCAAGACTCGAACCGAACGTGTGACCCTACCAATGGATTGCTCTCCGAACGAGGAATCCATAGGTGGGGTCACACGTTCGGTTCGAGGCCCATTTAGCGACTCTGGCGCTCAAAACGCGTTCAACCGGTCTGTGCTGCACCCACCATGCGCTTGGTCATGTCGCCGGCCACGGCGTCCACGTGCCTCCGGATCCACGCGTCGCTCGCCCTGTTGGTGATGGCGGCGTGCTCGCCGAGGTGGTCGATGTACTCGATGTCCCTGCCCAGCGCGCCCAGGAACAGCCCCGCCTTGTACACGCGCCGCTGCCGCGTGAACTCCTTGTAGCGCTGGTCCCTGCACAGCTGCAACATTCGTCAGCCTTTTTTTCCCCTGAGCGTTCAGGGCGGTTCCGAAGTAAAAGGTTGACTGTGAACAGCGGGGTAAAAAAGGTAAAATTGGCTCTCCTTGGCCGGGCTGTCGGCAGGGTGTCTCCGCTGTATATTTCGGGTACGGCCAGGGAGACGCACTCCCACGCCTCCCACGGGGCTTAGGTACCGGCAGCCAGCCGCGAGGCCAGCCGCACCTCGAGCGCGAGGCATCTCTCTCTCTCTCTCTCTCTCTCTCTCTCTCTCTCTCTCTCTCTCTCTCTCTCTCTCTCTCTCTCTCTCTCTCTCTGCTCTCTCTCTCTCTCTCTCTCTCTCTCTCGCTCTTCTCTCTCTCGCTCTCTCTCTCTCTCTCTCTCTCTCTCTCTCTCTCGCTCTCTCTCTCTCTCTCTCTCTCTCTCTCTCGCTCTCTCTCGCTCTCTCTCGCTCTCTCTCTCTCTCTCTCTCTCTCTCTCTCTCTCTCTCTCTCTCTCTCGCTCTCTAAGCGCGCGCGAGAGAGACAGCTGAGCCTTGCAGGGGAATTGGAAAGGGGGTGGGCGTTTTACTCCCCGCGACCTTGGGTCCTCGGGGAGCTCCAGGAGCTATGACGCCAGCCCGTCCCGACAAAGGTCCGACTTATCCCGGGGAGGCTAGGCTGTGCGGCTGTGCGGCGCGGTGAATCGAAACCGAACTTAGTTGTTGATGCCTGCGGCCACTCACAGTGGGCCAGAAGACAGGGGGAGGCGGCCAAAACTCTAGACGCGTTTTGAGCTCCAGAGTCGCTAAATGAGGATCGAACCGAACGTGTGACCCCACCAACGGATTGCTCTCCGAACGAGGAATCCATTGGTGGGGTCACACGTTCGGTTCGAGTCCCTTTTAGCGACTCTGGCGCTCAAAACGCTTCTGGTGCCGGTCTTGACAGTGTACCTGCTCCTTGGTCTTGGGCTTGACGTAATGCCGGACCCGCACGGGGCCCAGGTCGTCCTCGGGCGGGTCGGGCCTCAGACGCTCCAGCAGGTCCTTGTTCTCGGACAGGGCCTCCAGGCAGCTGTCCAGCGACGAGCCCAGGCACTGGTCCAGCGTGGCCAGGCTCTGGACCGAAAGGCAGCAGCGGCGTCATCCAATCTGCCTAAGAGGCTGGTGCACTGGTAGAAGGACTCTCGGTCGGGCCGACCGCGGTGGCAGCGAGCCCGTTGCTCGGGTCGTTACGCCGGATTTTGAGCCCGGCAAGACCGCGTCTGAACTACGGTTTTGAATTTTTTGAGGTAAAAACGGCAAAAATATACGATCGACGACCGGGAGTTGAACACGCGACACGCGATTCAGAGGTGATGGCGCTAACCCCTCGGCTACCGGTACCGTGTAGTACATGTCAGTAAAGTACGGCGGCTGCCTCCGCACGCGCATCCCCTGCGCGGCCAGCACGGCGGCGCGCTCGAAGCGGCCGCCCTGCCACAGCGCCTCCACTTTGAGCCGCCGGATGGCGAGCGGCACCCGGCAGTCCTGGGGCTCCTCGGCCTCCACGCCCTCCTGGGCCTTGTACGCGGCCTCCAGCTGCAACGCGACAGACGCGGGTTAGAATCTCCAATTTTAATTACTATCTTTGGAATGAGCCCGCATACTACCCCGTATAAGGAAACCGAACGAGTATTGACTGAGAAATTTGAAAGGGAAAAGAAAAAAATTTGAACTCTACACCCCCTCCCCAGTCTTAATGGGGAGGCCTCCTGCTTTACTTCGGTGTTCGGGATGGGAACCGGTGCTATCAGGTACCTGGGGTTAATCCCGTCAGCGACTCTAAGCGTTCGCCGGGGGACCCAGTAGGACCCCAAAGCTCAGGCAGCTGGGTGAGAGCACCCAGTACGAAGCTCTTAGAGGGGCGGGACGTAGAGTGAGACGACAGAGAGACAGAGAGAGACTCAGACAGAGAAGAGGTTTGGTGGGAGCTTCTTGTTTTCGTAGGGTTGGTTGTGTACCCCATGGTACCCCCACTGTCCGGCGCTCCCGTACCGAACATACAGCGTTTTAGGCCAGCTTCAAAGGACTTATCATCGCCTCCCCGACGAGTCAAGGAGGCACCACCCGCAACCACACACCGGATGGTCTGGATTGATGGATCAAATACTCCATCGCTCCAGTGCCGAGGCCAACCCGCCGAAGCGGATTGCTTTTTAGACACCCACAGCGGAGTGGCCAGGTGAATGTGACTCTGACCACTACGCTATCACGCTTGTACGTCTGGCAGCGTGTTGGACGACGGGTTTGAGTTGCAGTGGGAGGAAGGCAGTCGAAAAATGTAACGAAATGACGAGTTTCGATCCCCGGACCCCGCCACCGGGATGACACGACTTTACGCTCTCGGCCACCACGGCCCATGATGAGGGGAACGGCGTGAGGTGGGTTCTTGACGCAACAGGACTCGACCGAACCGGTCAAAATTTCGCAAGAAGTTGGGGGAGTCGAACCGCCGACCCTAGCATTGGGAACCGACGCCTCTACTCCCTGGACCACCACGTCCCATGCACGGAGTGGGCTCACGTTCACGGGTTTCAACCGCACTGGCTGAGGCAGTAAAATTAAATGGAAATATTTGTTAGGAGTCGAACCTCCGGCATGTGGGTCTGTTGCACACGGCTCCGCTCGGATGGCCTCGAACCACCACCCTTAGGATAGTAAGTCGAAAAAACGTATGTGACGCTGGTATTCGAACGCCCGCCTGCGGTAACTCGATCCCACGTCTCTAACCTCTCGGCTATCACAGCAGTTGTGAAACGCGACGGATCATCTGCTTTCATTAACGTTCGTTGAATGAGATTTTTTTTTTCTATTTACTAGAAATTTTTGCATTCCCTAATTGCTTTCGACCTTGTCGATCTCCTCCAGCGCCTCCTCGAAGTAAGCCAGCGTGACGAGGGTGGCCGCTCTGGGCTGCAGCGGCTTGAGGCTCTCCGGGTCCAGGTCCACGGCCGTGTCGAAGTACTCCATCGCTACCGGCAGAGTGCGTCCGCACCGCTGGAGAATGCTCTTTGCGATGGCGGTGTTCTGTTGCTTCTAGACGCGTTTTGAGCTGCAGAGTCGCTAAATAGGCCTTGAACCGAACGAGAGACCCCACCAATGGACTGCTCTTCGAACGAGGAATCCATTGGTGGGGTCACACGTCCGGGAGTCCTGTTTAGCGACTCTGGAGCTCAAAACGCGTCTCTGGCCGCCTCCACCGGTCTTCTGGCAAATCCACTGTGTACCTCTCTTGTACTTGGTGCGGCGGTGCACCTGCCGGCCCACGTCCAGGAACACGTTGACGGCCATCAGGACGTTCTCGTCGTCCAGGTTGACGCGCGCCTTCTTGTCCCTCTTCTTGGCGGCCTTCACGTTCTCCGACACGACCTCCACGCGCTCGGCGCGCACGGCCTGGCGGCAGCAGGCGCAGCTGCCCGCGCCGTCGTCCTGGCGGACGGACGGACGGACGGACGGACAGGGTGATCGCCGTGCCTGCCCCGCCCCTCCCCGCCCCGCCCCGCCGCGCCCCGCCCCGGAGGTTCGGCGGTAACCAACTCACCTTCCGAAATCCGGAGGGGCTGCTCGTCTTGGCCACCATGTTGACGCTGTCTTTGCCGCGCTGGCCGCCCTAGCAGTGCAGTGCCTTGCTGTGCAGTGCCTGGGTGGGTGGGTGCTTCCCGTTGCCCTGGCCGTTTCTTTCCACCCGCCGCGCCGATTGTTACTCAACAAGTGGGCCCTCGGCTCGGCCCTCGGCCTGCCGAAGGGCCGCCGAAGGGTTTCCAAAGGGTTTTCGAAGGGCCATCGCGGCACCACGGCCAGACAGACGCACAGTGGTCAAAAAACAATTGATCGTAAAAATTGGATCCCATGGGTATTTGAACCCGCGACAATTGTTGATATCCAGTCCCGAACCCCGATGTCGGCATCCTAACCACTGCGCTATCGAAGTGCCATTACAATGGTCGTGCCCGCGCTGGCTCAAAACGCGTCTAGAGCTTTGGCCGCCTCCACCGGTCTTCTGGTCCACTGTGCGACGGACAGACGGACAGGAGGGTGGGCGAAAGCGTCCGCCTCTGTCGTCGTCCCGCCGGATTGTGAAGTGAGTCTAGCTGGCGCTGAGCTGCTCTGAATGGATTTTCATTTGCGGACGCTTAGCCCAAGTGACAGCCAAGTCCCCCATCATCAGTGCGCGCAGAAATTTAATGCAGGCAATTCACAAAGACAGTGCCGGAGCAACCAGGGGCTTTGCGCGCTCGACCGCACTGTGCCGCCACTGCCAGTGACATTTTGAGAATGTGATTTAAACTGGGGCCGGGCCGCACGCACACTGTTTTAAAAAAAAATCTTGGAAATTCTCGGAAAATTCGATGCCCCCAACGGAGCACAGGAAAACAGTTTTTAACGCGATTTATGACTCTTGCGTTCGTTTTTCCGCACCTCGTGAACTTGTTTTTTATTCGTTTGTTACAGGCGCTGATGGCTGTGCAACGTATTTCGACGTCGGCAACCCTAGACAGAATCGAGTCTCACTGAATATGAGAAGGTAATTGTTTCCTCTTGCTTCCTCAAATGTTTCACCCCTGCCTTTCCTGATCACCAAGTTGGCACTTCTAAAAAAAAAAAATTAAAAAAATAAGAAAAAAGGTGGCAGTATTTGAACCAGGAACCTCTATATCCGAAACCACCCCCCTAACCACTTACTCCACAGAGCATGGCGCTGCTGTACCGTTACGTGAAGCTGCACGACCGCGCCGACTCGCACGTCTTCACGTTCGTGGTGACGCGGAGCGTGACCAGGGACCCGGAGCGCGACGTGACGTCCAAGGAGCTGACATGCGGCTACCAGCGCTGGGCCATCACCTTCTCCAGGACCGACAAGGTCCTGGGGGTGTACCTGGTGTGGAAGTCGGCGTGCCAGGGCATGCGCGTCTACGTGGACTTCACCTTCACGCTGCTCAACCGGGAGCACTTCAGCTGCAACGAGGCCTTCGCCGGCAAGCAGGTGGGTCGCAGTCGGTCGACTCTAGACGCGTTTTGAGCTCCAGAGTCGCTGGACAGGACTCGAACCGAACGTGTGACCCCACCAATGGATTCCTCGTTCGGAGAGCAATCCATTGGTGGGGTCACACGATCAGTTCGAGTCCCATTTAGCGATTCTGCAGCTCAAAACGCGTCCGGGATTTTGACCGCCTCCACCGGTCTTCTGGACCACTGTGGTGCGTGTTCCTGCAACCCATAGGAGAAAAAGTCCAGGGAAACTTCGACACGGTAAAATGATTAAATCGCCTAACCTAACCTAGCCTGCCTATCGGGTAAGAGAAAAGACCAGACATTAGGCAAGCTGGGGTTGGCTTCCCTTTCGACCCTAGAGGGTCCTTCCTACGTCGCAACACTGCAAGGCCAGCCGGGCCGAGCGAGCGAGGAAACACCCGGAAATCCATCAAGACGCGCTTAACCCGCCAGAAGCGCGCCAAGGCGCGTCCAGAAAATAAACGTGTAGACACGCGTTAGCCTTTGTCGGGCCGGCCAGGCTTTGCTCCCTGACCGCCTGGCCTTGCCTGGCCTTGCCGGCCTTGCCTTGACCGTCAAGAAAAACTTCCACTCCATCAAAACGGCTTAGCGCCTGCTCTGCCGGCTCGGAACTTCCGGGCCGCGCCACTTTTTCCTCGCTCTGCTCCTCTCCCCTGCTTTGTCCCGCCGCTCGCCCCCCTCCCCCCTTTTGCATCAATATTGACTTCGTCACGGCGCGGGGAGGGACATGATGGTCCTTGCTGAGGCTTTCTTTATTGAGGCCGTTTAGCTCGTTTGGCGCAAGGCGTGGCGGTTAATTGATCAAGTTGGGTAATCCCCCGAGCAGACGACGCAGAGGTTACATTATTTACACAATAAGGCCCCACTGGCGGGGCGGGGCCGGCGGGGCGTGAGGCTTGGGCTTACCGCGCGCCCCGGCGCCCCGAACAGGCGGTGGCTGGCGGGGGAAGAAATTGGGCGGGTTTTGAGGTTGTTAGCGTCCAGTAAAAAAAATCGCAGTCGTGTCCCAAAGTACTTGCCAAATTCTGAAGTACCATGGCAATTTTTTTCTGGCCCACTGTGCGAGCGCTGACTGATTCGTCTCTGGTCCGGTGGCCTGAGGCCGAGCCCTGATGCCGAGCCCTGATGCCGAGCCCTGAGGCTGTGACGTGCAACTTGGAGAGAAGCGTCCCCAGGGGGGAGGGGGCGGCACAAGCTGTGCTCCGCTCCACAGGTATGGCGATAGGTCATTCCAGCGATCGGGACAATCGTACACCCCGGACGGGGCGGTCCTCTCGGGTCCAGAGGGACCGGGGGAAAGGGGGGGGGGGCTGCTAGTTGGTGCGTCATTAGGACCTTTACGACAGCCCGCCTCTGTCGGCTGTTAAGGGAGGTTAGGAGGACAGCGCTAAGCCCGGTAATGCCGGAGGTGGGAGAGAGAGGACCTATCCACGAATAGTGTCAATTTCAGACCCGAAACCGGCGCTGGAGGCACCCCCACCCCACCCCACCCCCTGCGCCCGGTCGGGCGGCCCTCACGGTGTTCCACAGCAGCAGTTGTCAGCAGTCTGGACGACTGGAGCGGCTGTGTGTCGTTGCTATGCGAGGGCTGCTGGACAAAGTCGCGCTGGAGTGCCGGCGACGTGCTGTAGGTTCGCACTTTAGTTAGAAGGCAAAAAGTTTAAAAAAATTGAAAAAATTTAAAAAAAAATTAAAACTTTCAAGGGACTTAAAAAAAATAAAGAGACTTTTTAAAATTTCAAAAGAGACTTCAACAAATTTTTAAAAGTGACTTTAAAAAATTTCAGGAGAAAACAGAAGTTTTTTTGTTTTTTTTTAAAAAGGGAAATTTAAGAATTATCTTTAGGAGAAGACGACTGAATATTTAAAAAAAAAATGTTCTGTGTGTGCCCGCAGGTCAAGTTCACGATGGCGGCGCCGGCGCAGGGCAACAAGAACTACATCCCGGTTAGCGACCTGTACGCGCGCAACTTCACGGACACGAACGGCGAGTTCCAGCTGGAGCTGTCCATCGGGCACGTGCGCACCGTGTACAACGCCGACATCCGCGTGCCCACCAACATCTTCGGCGGCGTGGCGGCCGTGGCCACCCACCACTACGGCGGCGGCCTGCACGCCCACGGCGGCTCGCGACACGGCCACCACACCGGCAGCCCCGCGCCACTGCAAGCGCTGCAGACGCCCACCAACGGCGCCAACGGCACGCCCGCCAAGACGCCCACCGCGCCGGCCGGCAGCAAGCTGGAGACGTCGTACTTCACCTTCGGCGGCTTCGACTGGAACCTCAGCATCGTGCCGCTGGCCAAGGAGAGTGAGTGGCCGGACACCCCGTTCAAACCGAAAAACATTTTACAGTGCAGCTCTACAGTCCGGCGTGCGTTGTTGCAGGCGGCAGCGAGGGCCGGATGGCCGTGTACATCAACAGGCTGACGGGCTTCGACCACGCCTGCCGCGTCCGCTACGCCGTGACGCTGGGCGACGGCGACCGCCGCGTCGAGTCCGGCACACTGCAGACCGTCTCGGACACCGAGGGCCGGGCGTCGGGCTGGCACCCGCGCACCCGCATCTCGGACGTCATGCACAAGGTGGGCTGCCAGTGGGCCAGAACACCGGCGCCGCCGGCCGAAACTCTAGACGCGTTTTGAGCTCCAGAGTCGCTGAGCAGGACTCGAACCGAACGTGTGACCCCACCAATGGACTCCTCGTCCTGAGAGCAATCCATTGGTGGGGTCACACGTTCGGTTCGAGGCCCATTCAGCGACTCTGGAGCTCAAAACGCGTCCGGGATTTTGGCCGCCTCCACCGGCCTTCCGGCTGACGTGGCTCACCGTGGCGTTGCAGGGCGTGATCCGGGTGCACCTGGAGATGATGCTGGCCAACACGATGAGCGAGGTGGCCGTGACGTCCATGGGGCTGGCGCCGGGCGCCATGGACGACACGATGGGTCGCCGGGTGGCCATGCCCGTCACAGCGCAGTGCTACGACCGAGAGAAGCAGGCCTGGTCGCTCAAGTCGGACTGCCACTCGGACACCGTGCGCCTGCACATGGTGTACAAGGACGTGCAGCACGTGCCCAGGAACCACCTCAGGTCAGTGCATACTCTCTCTCTCCCCCTCCCCCTCCCCCCGCGCACACGTGGCGTTAACGAACACAATTCGTGGCGCTTGATGAAGTTTCGAGGGATTATCACCCTGTCTGTAATTTGGTTCCCCAAGTGCGTCGTTGGCCGCGAGGGCCGACAGTGGACGCGGTGTGGGCGCGCTGCGTGCGGCGCGGCGGTCCAAGGCCGACCGGCTCACATATTCATGCAAGGCAGGCCGCAGGGCAGGGCAGGGGCCCGCCGAGAAAAATCTACATTCCGACCTGAAAGGAAACGCTGAATGACTGAATGAATGACGGTGCGTGGGCACCGCGGTACAATGAATGAATTTATTTTTTCAAAGAGGGGCAAAAAAAATCTCATTCAACGAACGTTAATGAAAGCAGATGATACTCGTCTGGTTTTCTTATAGGGGGTAGTATGCAAGCTCAATCCAAAGATAGTATTTAAAATTGTGTATGAAACAAGACCAATTGAATACACAGGCCCGAGCAAGCTAGCCGGTGTTGGTAGCCATGCCGAGCTATGGCATGTGGCATTGTTGCGCGATATTCCGCGCCGTGTCAGGCGGGGAGGGATTGTCAATGTACCATTGTTGACGCCCGGTGCCGCTGGCGCTGTACCGCGGAGGGATTGTCGAATTCCGCGCAGGCTGCGCCTCACCGCCAGCCGGCCAGACACACCAGCCCGCCCCGGCAGCCAGCCCCTATTATATTGTTAGGATACGCGCTTGGTTTCTGCACTCGAGAGTAAAAGCACGCTGACACCTTCATGTGTATAGTAGTTTTAAGTGTGTTTCAAGTGTGAAGGTATCATCTGCTAAAAAAGAGAAAGACGGAAGAAAACCGCCCGCAGTGCTGCTCTTTTGGTCTGGTGATGCTTTGGACTTATTTGTGTCCATTTGGCTGACGCTACTCTCGCTTTACATTTTTTTAAGAGAGGAAAAAAAATGTTATGAATTATTCGCGCGTCCGTACTCAAGGCAAAGCAATTACATTCGAAATGTTGGCGCCATTCCCACCCCTCCCCCGGTAATCCACCAGCAGCCTGGCATGCTGGATGGTGACGACGTTTTTCAGTACGACGTGTGTGTGTGTGTGTGTGTGTGTGTGTGTGTGTGTGTGTGTGTGTGTGTGTGCGTGTGTGTGTGTGCGTGAAGCGTGTCAGTGTGGGGCCGGGCCGTGTCAACAGGCCGCGACGGATGCCTTTCCACGCTGAAATTCCGCTCCCCGGCCGATGGACGCGGGACGCGGTACGGACGGCGAAGCACGGAGACAAACCCCGGACTATTCAAATGAAGCGAGGCGATTGCGAGAGAGAGACAGCCGATGCACGCTGCAGCCGTGAAGCGGGCTTATCGTAACGAGCGGCAAAAGAGAGAGAGAGGTCGTAAACAAAGCGGCCATTGGAGTGCCGCTTCCAAGTTGCGCCGCATGTGCGCGCGGATTGTGGGGGGGGGGGAGTCAGCTCGAGTTATATAAGCTGGCCAGTCGACCGGGCGCTAGTGAGTTGGTCATCGCCGCATGGCTGCTGCGTAAATAACCCCCCGTGCCCCCCTCCCAGGGAATTCCGGGTGACCCCACATGTAAGCTGCCCTCAAGTCCCTCTGCCAGCCTGGCCCTCTCACGCCCCCCCCCCCACACACACACACATCATCCCGCACTCGACTTTCCGTTCGGCGAGTGGGTGCCGCGGGGGAAGGGGGAGGGGAGGGGAGGGGGAGGGGTTGTAGACCGAATGGGTCCGGAGACAAAAGACGCCTTGAACGAACACGGCGTTCGGAAATGAATTGAACGCCGGGCCCGTGTGACCTACACTGTCAGGGCGTTCATTTTCACTGCCCTCCCTCGCTTGGACCTTGCTTCATTATTATTTTCTCTCATCAATTATTTAGTCCGTGAGAGAGAGAGAGAAAGAGAGAGAGGGGGGTGGAGGGAGGGGAAATGAGATGGAGAGGGAGACATGCCAGCCAACAACGTGTACTACATGTATGATTGCCCAGTGCCCTGCCCCCTGGCATTTGTGTCGTCGTTGTTGTTGTTTTAGTTCTTGTTTAATGGGAACGCAAATGGATTGGCAAAAGGTCGGGAAGGGCTGAGGCAGGTCAGCACCGCGACGACGCGAAGGTCAAGCCGGCCCGTGTGGTGAAAGCCAGCAGCACCAACAAGAGATTTTTTTAAAAGTTTTTTAAAAAGTATTTATTGGGGGATTCTTATTAACAATTTACGCTTGGAGATGAGTTAGATTTGTCACGAAATTGCGCATGCAGCGTGGTTGTTTTTTACGGTTTGATGTTGTGCCGTGAGTGGGAGGCCGTGTGGTGTTGGCGCGTGCGTGCGAGGTTTTCCCGGGGGACGGCGGCCGGCAAGCCTGATGCTTCGCCATATTTTGAAAGCACCGCAAGATTTTAATTGGCTTATGCGCCACTCACCGAGCGTACAGTGCAGGAGCGCTCGGAGTGCGCAGAGCGAGGCGCAGAGCGTGGCGCAGAGCGTGGCGCAGAGAGAGCGGGTTGAGGAGGAAGATGTATGAAGCAGACGCTGAGAGCCCTGCAACCGGAGTAGCAGCTAGGGGCAGAGTATGAGGTCCAGATATTTCAAAGTCCCACAAGCTCTGTGGTCCATTTTTTTCCGGTGTTCTTTTGCTTGGCGGGGTCGTCTCGACTGGACAATGGCCTCATCACCTTTCAAGAGGCGAAGTGACTCGCTGGCTGAGGTCCTTCGCGGCCTTGGGGGTGACCTTGGCCTCGTCCTGCGGCAGGGCCGGCGGGGGTACAAGGGCCACATGTCCACGTCCACAACCCAGACAGGACTCCGAACCTCCAGGCGCCACCCCGTCAACGAGCACGTCAACGAGCCTCCAGCGTGTTTACAGTGTCCACGGGCAGTCGAGCTGGCGTCGCGTGGCGGCCGGCACACTGGAAGGGGAAGGTGCATCTAAATGCGGACTCGCGCATCCCACAGGAATAGAACGTGGCCTCTGTGACATTCTGCGGCTGCAGCAACGAGGCTGGAACCGGCTGGAACGACCATGGAGTGAGGCTGGAACGACCATGGAGTGAGGCTGGAACGACCATGGAGTGAGGCTGGAACGACCATGGAGTGAGGCTGGAACGACCATGGAGTGAGGCTGGAACGACCATGGAGTGAGGCTGGAACGACCATGGAGTGAGGCTGGAACGACCATGGAGTGAGGCTGGAACGACCATGGAGTGAGGCTGGAACGACCATGGAGTGAGGCTGGAACGACCATGGAGTGAGGCTGGAACGACCATGGAGTGAGGCTGGAACCGGCTGGAACGACCATGGAGTGAGGCTGGAACGACCATGGAGTGAGGCTGGAACGACCATGGAGTGAGGCTGGAACCGGCTGGAACGACGCAGGCTGGCTGGAGCGAGGCCGCGTGGCTCGGCGTGGCTCGGCGTGGCTCGGCGTGGCTCGGCTCCAGGAAAAGGCTTTCCAAGCGAAATGACGGGCCGTACGCGACTGCCATTTTTCATCGGTGGAACCCGCTGTGCCAGAAAATAAGTCAGACGGAGGCGGGAATTGAGAAAGAGGAGGAAGGGGAGGCAGCCTTTGATTGCCCGGGGGCTAAGCGGAAACACACCAGGCATCCCAATAGTTTGTTGCCACAACTGTTTTGGGCTGTGTGGACCATGTAGTTACAAATATTGTCACTGGCTGAGGCGACAAGGTTGACTCGTGTGTTCCACGAAAAGCTGCTTATTTCTAACCTAACCTCTTCAAGTGCACTTTAGCGCAAGATTCATTTCTTTTCAAAAATGGATAATTTGAATTGTTATTTTTATTTATTAGTATTAATTTTTTTTCTCGTGACGCTGGACAGGTACGTGTGCTGGACCGCCTACCTGCTGCGCTACAACAAGGGCCACGTGGAGACGTGCGTGCTGCCCGGGGCGCCCTTCAGCCACTACTACCAGCAGGAGCCCAGCGACGAGGGCATCATCATGGAGACCGACCTCACCGTCAAGGCGGTACGTCCACTGCAAAAAAAAAAAGGCTGACAAGCAACAAGTCAACTTTTCGTTACGACCTCTTCACTTTTTTTTCTAACTATTTTTTATTTATTTTAAATATTGGCAGTGTTTTGTTGACTTAAATAAATTGCTTTGACTTACCGTAAAAAAAATCTGGGACATCAGAACAAATTTCTTTAAAATTTCAAAAAACTGTCGAAAAATTTTTGAAAAAGCGTTTTTGGGTGTGAAGGACACAGCTTCTGCATCGCCGCGCACGCCATCAAGTAGCCGTGTCCTTTCCCCCTCTTCCTCGGTGCAAACAATGACCCCGCCTCATCTCGATGAATAACAAACTTTTGCCCCGAAACCTGACCCATCTCCATATCTGCAATATGGAAATCCAATCCCTCGACCGCGCGCTCAAATTATGCTCGCAAATCCGGCGAAAATCCCGAATATCCCGGGCCGCGTCTACAAGCACGCTGCTAAGCGCGTCTCCGGTCTGCCCCGGCCGAGGGTCCAGCGCGACGGCCCGGCAAAAATGCCCCGCGAAAACGACGCTCGCGCGTTACCAGTGGACTGCCGCGGCCCGCCGCCAGGGACACGGCGGAAAAAGAAGATGACAACACCCCCCCCCTCCTCCCTTCCCTCAAACCACGCGCACCTTTCCCCCAATTAAAACTTAAATTAATGCGCGTTGTCAGCGGAGTGGCAAGCTCGGCAAGCTTATCGCAAGGCCGCAGCGCCGCCGGCTAAATTAGTTTGCCGTGTGACAGTGTAGCGGTGTAACAGTGTAGCGGTGTGTCAGTGGAGCAACAGCGTAGGCGCCAAGGCCGCCTGCCCGCCACTGCCCTTCGCCGCCTCGCAGATCTCTGCCTGTTCAGCGGCGCGTTTGGCCTTCTTTTTCACTTCGTTCTCTCTCTGCTTTGAGCGAGACTTGAAGCGGGCGATGCCGCGGGACACCTTTACGGGTGACGTCATCGCTGAGTGACAAAGTTACAGTGTGAGAGTTGGGCTGCTGGAGCGCCTGCGAGGAACGCGATAGGCAACACGGTGGACACGCGTGGCTGGCGGGCTGGCCTAGCCTCGCGTCCGCAGGCGTTAAGCCCGAAGACCGAAACTCTGGACGCGTTTTGAGCTCCAGAGTCGCTAAATGGGACTCGAACCGATCGTGTGACCCCACCAATGGATTCCTCGTTCGGAGAGCAATCCATTGGTGGGGTCACACGTTCGGCTCGAGTCCCGCTGACTGGGTGTTTGTGCCGCAGCTTCGGGACCCCGGCTGCGAGTACCTGGCCGAGAAGGGCCAGCTCCGCGTCCAGGTGGAGTGGGAGGAGAGCCACATGCTGTTCCAGGCCACGTACCACAAGTACGACGACGTGAGCCGCGTGCACAACATCCAGATGAGGTACGTCACGGTAGGCGAGCGCACTGCGACCCAGCAAGCTGCTTCAAAGGGCCGCGTTCGATCCCCGGCTGGGTCTCCCGCTTTTTTGAAACCGCTTGGAAGCGTTCGGGACAGCGTGGTCCGTGGCAGTGCAGGTTGTCCCGAGGCAGATCGCTCCAATGCGAGTAACTAGCGTCTCTCCGGATCTCCGGCGGGAAGCCAGACTCCACTGGCCGCCCCCGCCGGCGGAGCGCCGGCGCGCAGCCTGCGCGACGCTCGGGGGCGTTCATGTGTCATTATTCCATTTCAGTCAAGCGAGTGCCTTCGTCCCATCCACACGCCAACACGCATGTACTAACACACAGACACTCTCTCACTCCCACGCACGGACAGAGTTGGACGCCCACATTCACAATGTATCACACTCACACGGAGACGCAGTCGTACATGCAGGCTGCTCTCTCTCTGCCCCCCCCTCTCTCTCTCTCTCTCTCTCTCTCTCTCTCTCTCTCCCTCTCTCTCTCTCTCTCTCCATCCACATTCTGTCAAGGCTGTCGTTAATGAAGTCCCGCCCTGCTGGTGAATTAAACAACCGCTCTAGTATGGAACGGAGTTTTGGCGCCAAAGTTGCCGTTTCCGGCGAGTGCTGCGCTGTGCTGCGCTGTGCGGGCCGCGCTGTGTGGAGACTCGTGTGTCGGGCAGGTTCAGCACTGGTCCAACATCCCAGGCTCCAGCCGGCGCGGTCGCTGCTTGCTGTCGGTACACACGCCAGTGGTTTCATTTTGTGTTTGAGTTGTTCTTTTGATCGGGATTCGGGGCTTTCAGGTTTGGTTACAAACTCCTCTCAGCCGGTTTGAACGCTTAAGCGCACCGTAGGCGCGGCAGATGGCAGCTTTTTTAAAAAAATTAAAATTAAATATAAATTTCAAATTTTAAAAATTGAAATTGTAAATTTAAATTTCAAATTTTAAAAATGAAATTTTAAATTTAAATTTCAAATTTTAAAAATTGAGATTTAAAATTTAAATTTTAGCCAACCCGGTGACAGTTGAACCAGAACAACATAGTTTCCTCACCCCGACTTGCAGGCGGGAGATCGTGGCGCTGCAGGCGGAGAACTACTCCCTGGAGCGGCAGCTGTTCAGCTACCAGAAGTCCATCGCGTACGCGCACTCCCGGGGCACCTACAGCGACGACGGAGCCACCCCGGACGGCAGGGAGCGCGACCTGGAGGACGACGAGGACGGCGAGGGGCCGTACTGCGACGAGCGGGCCTACTCCCTCGGGGACCGGTGAGCAGTGCAGAGCAGTGCAGAGCAGTGCAGAGCACAACACCGAACTGACGTCCGCAGTGGGCCAGAGGACCGGTGGAGGTGGTAAAAGTCCCGGATACGTTTTGAGCTCCGCAGTCGCTAAATGAGACTCGAACGGACCCCACCAATGGATTGCTCTCCGAACGAGAATCCATTGGTGGGGTCACGCGGTCGGTTCGAGTCCCGTTTAGCGAGTCCAGAGCTCGAAACGCATTTTGAGTTTTGGCCGCCTCCACCGGTCTTTTGGCCCACTGTGGTCGACCTGATTGACTTTCCTTTGAGTCATGTCTGTTTGGCTGGCGGTGCAGTGCCTGTTCGTCCCCCAGGTCTCTGTCGACGGACACGGAGTACGCCTGAGATCTAGCGCCCGCCTCCTGGGGGCAGGTGCCCCTTGGGGGGCCCCTTGGGGGCGGGTCAGGAGGCAGGCACAGCCTCGGGGGCAGTCCGCACAGGTCGCCCGGGGCGTCGGGACGCAACCACCACCAGCATCGTCGTTCCAACGACTCCACCCACAGCGAGGGGAGGCACAAGGTAGGCCAGGTATTGCCTCACTTCATTCGACAGACTTTCGTCCAACTCGAGTTTTCTGCTGCCGTTGCACCTTTTGTTCATTTTTTTTGTCTCTTCGGCCAAGATTTTTTGAGTGGAACAGAGGAAAAGGGGACTTGTTTTCGATGATGTCAGTTGAATTGTGCTACAATGCATCGTGTTTTGTTTTTTGTTGGTGTTTTTAAAAATTATTTTCGGCAGCTGAAAGGCCGCCAAAAAAAGAAAATTTTTATTGTTTTTCTTTTTCAAATCACCTAGAACCGTCCCAATATAGCGAAACTCTTCCGTCTTTATAGTGTGTAGCTCTCTTACTGCTATTCCTCTTTCTCTTTCCAGCAGCGAATACCCCATTTTGGCCACCCCCCGCCGGAAGGCACGCCGAACCTCTCAGATTACGCAGTGTCCAGTTTGTTTGGGTAACTTTGTCGGAATGAAGGGGCTCATGTCGAGATGAGCGTGTCTTTCTTGCCACCAAGTTTGGAACAGCCCTCCTGGGAACAACTGGCTTGCTGCGACGGTGGCTTCCGGCGTGGGGCAGCCCGGCAGGCCCAGTGAGAAATAGCCGGCTGGGATGTTGTCTAAGCTCTTGTTTTGCCCGAGGAGAAAATAACTTCAAAATGGCGGGAACCTATTGCGTGGCACTCCGTAGCCCGAACACAGCAATGACAGCATTCTCGGTCGGTCATTTTCACTGGGAGGCCGTTCTGAAATACTTTTTCACTTCCTTCTTCCTTCTGTCTTCTGTTTCTGTCAGTGCCTGCTTAGGAAAGGGAAACCGACCTGGCTTACTAAAGCTAATGCTGAGTTCATGACCTGCCGATTAGTTTATCATGACAGTGACGGGATGAAAATGTGGTCAGCAAGAAAACGGAGAACTTGGCACAAATCCGTCTTTTTTTATGCCATGAACGCTGGAAGCTCATTCAAAACTAACAAAAAGGGGAAATCCAAATTCAGAGTCTTGTGTACTTTGGACGTCTTGTTTAACTTTCGGCTCTTTGGTACGCAAGGGGAGTTTCCCGATGAGATGGAAAGTAAACAAATGGACGTTACGGACAACGCGTAGGGAGGCAGTTGTCTTCAACTGTCCGTCTTTTCGTTCTAGTCACTGTGATCAATCGAGTTCATACCCAACAAACTTTCTCCCTCTCATGGCCTCCAGGATCTGCATGCCCCGATTCGCACTCGACTGCACCGCTGAGTCCGATGCACCTGGCCAAGTTATTCTCGCCTTTCATTTAACTTGTTCAATGTTAAACCCTCAGATGGCAGTACTCTGATCAAAAAATAACGTTCAGTAATGTTGTTGACTTTAATGCTGATCTAACTTCACCATGGACCCTTGCCATACTTGTCATTGTGTCATGCTGCAGCTTTTGTTTGGCACGAACAAGTTTTCATTGGAGGCTCTACCAGAAAAGCTTACATGTGTACTGCAGTCATTATTGTGGCCGAGCTTGCCTTTAACTATGCTTCGTCAAGTCCAGCAGTGTTTCTATCTGAAGACTTTGGCTTGATGGTCTTGCTTGGCTGGGTGGGACGTTGTAGTGCACTCCACCCACATCCACTTCCTGACGACTTACTGTTTGTGTAGCGACCAGACATCACCGAACAGTCTGATACAGAGGAGGATCAGGGGAAACGGCGGCAGCACTTCGCGGACTCTCAGGTCCTGAACAGTCCCAGGGGACGTCACGGTACGACATAACCTAACCAGGCAAGGTGTGAACTGCCCGGTCAAACCTTCTATTTCAATCAACAAAGTGTAGAACAAATTCACACAAAGCGCATCAGTTTATTCCAAATGTAAATACGACATCCTGTACTCAAAATTTTTTGGAGTGACCGGGTAGGTCCACGGCCTGTTTAGTCTATTCCATAAATTCGTCTCATAACTTGATTCCTTTCGTGCGATCGCAGGCTGCCTTTGAATGCGCAAGGGCGCCGCTAGACTGGATTCTTGGAAGTGCTAGAATGCTTCTGCTTTATTATTGCGTGTCCGTCGGCTTGGGTGTAAACAGCTTTGCCATTGCCAGCAACGTTTCGAGAAACTTCATTGCGGAGAAAGTGTTAACCCAACAGTGCGATCGAAGCAAAGCATTTCTGCCATATACGAGGTGTTTCGACAAAGTCACACCTGACGGATTTAAAACGCGTTTGAAATAAATTTCTGAATGAAACTGCTCTAATCTTCAACTCCTTATCATGGTTTAAGAACTAAGATCTTGTTTTTTTAGCTTGTGAAGCGTTGACCTGCATGATTTCCCTCTTTTTATCTGCATGGCATGGAACTGAAAGCATGTGTACCCCAATGCAGCGACGTTATGCGCACGTCTTTTAGTAGTAGAAGTTTATCCTTCTCCTTGCGCACTCTGATGCTAACTGACCCTGCACTCTTTTCTTCTTCTGCTACTAAGCAAAACCTTTTTTGGGACTTCTTCATATCTGACATCTCATTTGAGTCCAGCGGTAAACCTCCAAGGTTGATTCTTTAATTGAGTATCGCGGGTTGCATGCCTCTAACTTCCATGTAAGACGACTCTACCAGTAAAGTTATCTTTCTTCTGCTAGAAACAACAGAAGTTACTCTGTTACTCTCGTCTATGGTATCCTGTTTTTATGTTGTTGTTTTTTTTTTCTGAAAGAAGAAAAGGAGTGACGTGCAGTTTGTACAGTTGCAGTTTCTCTCATTTAAGTATTTTACATTGCTGTTTTTATGTGTAAACTTTTCAGATACATTGATATTGGACTTTTTTTGTATTTGAAATGGTAAACTATTCACTCAAATGTTGACTAATATACTTCACGGTAAAGATTGTTTATGAGATAATTTCATCAACTGTCTCTCCCAAGAAATGTGTATCATGCAGGTAAATACACATTCCTTCGTCGTCCAATGTACATAAACCAAATACCCCAGAAATGTCGTCAAACTGGCTGGCATAACTTATTTTTTGCTCTGTAAACATAAAGGCAATGAAAAACGTGAGGTGTGGTGTCTTGTTGCATAACATAATGTGCCCATAACGACTGGTCATAATTCGGAGGGGTATTACCCGATTAGACTGCGCGCTCCATGACTATTCAAATGCATAAGCGTTTGGATTTAGAGCCTACCTTCAGCACAGTTTGACGATGACTTTTACTGGGGATTGTAGAAAAGTGTATTCAACATGGTTTGCATGTGTGATGCGTGTGCCTAGAGAGCCATATCAGACTGCAGGTTAAAGTTTTGTAATATTTTACGCTCTAAAAAAGTTAAAAGTTGGAACTTTTTTAAATTAAAAAAAGATTGTTTTGCGGACAACTTGAATAATGCAAATTAATGAGTTAACTAGTGTTCAACATTTACTGCTTCTGGTCTGGCTGCCGCTTGTAAAAGGATTATTCATCCTTGTAAATACATATACTGTCTGTACATTGCTTCTAGTGTCGTGCCACAGCATCGGTCTTTAATACAGTTCGATTTAGAAATCAGGGACAACGAGATCGTAAAATTTGCACAATATTTCAATTTATTATGAAAACGCGACTGTCCGCATGTAAAACTACATTTTACAAATTAAAGCCAACATTTCAAACAGTTAATTTTACAGAAAATATACGTGAAGTTGCTGCGTGCCAGCTGGATGCAGCGAGGTAACATTCGTTTCACGTACAAAATGCGTTTTCTTGAAAACCAATAAAGCCCAAAATATAATTCGATGCTGTTGCACACTCACCATGGTCACTTGCAGCGAAGTGAAGTGTCGAGGTGTAATCACTTGTAGATATTGTAAAACTGCTAGAATGTTCCGAGAAAAACTCGGTTTTGAAATCATCTGCACGAGACGTTTTCCAAAAGGCGAGGTGGCCGCCGCAATGTCACATTGGCCGTTTCCCAACTAAGTGCCACTGAACAGAACGTAACGGCGGTGGTCTGGCCAATGGAAACATCTCCAGATGTAAGTGGGAAAACGAGGTAAAGGCATGTTCTTTTCTAGCGAACTGGAATATACTAAACGGGGACAATTTTTTATTTGTATTTGCTTTTTTGAACTGTTTCATTAAATCCAATCGATATCTTGCACTGACAAAGCAGTGTCCGTGGCCAACCCTTAATGGTTATAGACCACAAAGCGTTGCCTCAAAACTGTGGTTATTTTTTGCAAAAAAAAAAGGCTCAATTTTGAATTTGCTTGGACAAAGTAAAAGAGTGATCCTGTGCGCTGGAGCAAACGTGCCTCGCCCTCGCCGCGGCTTGCGGGCCTTAGTGCAGTCCCTTCCCGCAGAGAGGATCGCGAGCCAGCAGCTCAAGGAGCGGGCGTCCTTCCATGGAGAGCTGCCGGATGGTGGAGGGGGCCAGCGCGGCCAGCGCGGCCAGCGGCTGGGGGTGCAGCGGAGTCTTGGGCCTCGCACCGAGTCCTCGCCCGTCCTTCGGAGACACGCCACCGTCCATGGCCACGTCCATGGCCACGTGCCCGGGCCAGCTGCGCGTCAACAGCCCCGACCCCAGCATCAGAAGCATCCGGTCGTACCGGCCCCCGGAGACGCGGTCCCCCGACCTCTACGTGCCCAGGTGAGTTTCGTGGACCAGGACGAATTGCAGCTACCTTAGTTAGTTTGAATTAATCCGACTGTCCCTGCAGGAACACCATGGGAATAGCCGAGGCCCTGCCAGCCTCCACGATGCTCCTCTCGTCCGAAGAGGGTCCCGACGGCTCCCCGAAGTCCCCGTCAATATGGGAGGCGCTGGCCGGGTTCGTGTGCTTCCTCGGGGACTTCGTGTCGGTGTCTCGATCGGACAAGCGGAGGAGTCCGAAGAAGAAAGTCACCAACTAAATTACTACCGGCGGACTGTTCACTGACAGCACGCTACGGCTGTGTTAGGAGTGGTTCTGGCGTCAACTGACTGAAATCATCTAGTGGTTTAGAACGCCTCAGATTGACTTCCAATTGAAAAGAGAATACACGGCGCTACGCATCCGGTACCGCTGCAAATTTGAAATCAATTCCGTGTGTATTGCTGAAGACAATCATTTTGTGGTTGGATTACAAAAATGTGTAAATGTAAGGGACATGTTTTTCCCAGTTGCTGTAAGTTGCCGTGTAAAGTGCTCAGTGGACACAGAATATGTATATCGTTTCGTAAGTGTGACAAGACTGTGAATATCGTTCGTCGGTGGAAGAACTTCCTATTTAATGTTACAATTATTGCTTATCTAAAGTGCCGCAGAAATTTTTATCCTCCTAAAATCTAGTAGATTTATTCAGATCTCTAATTTCAGTTATCAATTGCTTCAGACACGATATAGTAAAGAGATCCTTGTCTTCCTATATTTTTCTATTCTTCGAAACTCAGAGAGATACTTATGGTTAGTTTCTTTGCCTGTACTTTACTACGCATTGCAAAATGCTAGAAAAAACGCAAGCTTTTAAAAGTGTTAAAAATAGATGGAGTACTCACCCTGCCTTTCTGCAAGTTCAGAAACCGTTTTGAGCGATGAAAAAGGAAATAAAGAAAGGGCCAGTAGTTTCTCTGGTCCTAAACCGTATCATCTTCCTCGGCAGTTGGCTTGATGGAAGGTCCTCCGTCAATTAATGTACGCAAAAGTATTCTTTTAAGTGCCATGTTCTTTTCAGGTTTATGACTGTCTCCCAAACCCACTTCTTTCGTGAATTTGGCGTAGGGTTGTAAATATACTTTTGGGGGAAAATGTCACAGAGTCACCTTGCTGTTCTTCAATAAGAAGCTACTTTTATACTGTCCCTCCGCATTCTGAGTGGCTATTGTACATATATTACACGAAATTCGTCCACTTTCTGCCCATTCAGAAACGCGTTAAGAATTATTAGGAGTTTTAATTTTTAAAATGTATGTTTTACACCTTAAGCAAGATTTTGACCACTTCACTTTCTGTCCTATCGCCTGTGGCATTATTTTTTGTACCTGTGACAGCAATGACCAGATGAGATGTAATGTAGGGTCCATTCACCTAAATAAATAGGTGGTGCTGGTTGACACACTGAGGGCAGAGGTTAATATCAATATTATGCTTTTCAACTTGACTCTTTAGATGTTAATCCGTAATTCCTTTCATTGAGAATGATTATATTCATTTGGCCTATGCACTTTCTTTGAGTGCTCTTTGAGTGATATTACTATTTTTTTAGCATAGTTATTAACTTTGTGTCTGGCTTTGAATGTCTTAATAACGTTTCGTGCACAAAATTTATTCTTAATAAGCTGTTTGTTTGTAAATAGACTTCTTGTTTGCTATGTGTCTCAAGCTATTGATCTTTGTTGAATATGTTCTGTGTCCAGTCTGACTTTAGCTGAATAGAATAACGTTTAATGTGCGGAACTGTTTCTATCCTCTTGGACCAAGAAAAGGTACCGGCTCCAATACAAGGGAATGCATTTGATGATACACCTAACGAAATAACGATCATAATTAATAATAATTTAGAAAACTGCTTAGACTTTGAGCTTCATATCACAATTTCGGCTCATTCATCAACTTATCATTGCTTATCATTGGCTTATCCCTTGGGCACAAGCAGCGCTTCTGCATTGAAGGTAAAGACGGAGTTGTGTTGAAACACATTCAGTGCTTTGCTGTGTATGATAAGGAGAGTACCATATCCTAGTATCGGAGTCTATCTTTTCTGTTAGATTTTTTTTCTAATCAACTTCTAAAATTCTTCACAAATTTTTCCTTGAATTATGAAGGGTTGTACTCACAAACTTGTACAAAAGAGGTCGCTCTTGGACGATCACAAGTTTGGAGGATGGTGCTGACTTCCGCACACACTGCCAGGAATTTCTTGCAATCATCATCCTGCAAAATTGCTGTTTTAGAAAATTCTTGCAGTGTACACCTTTTTCCTTTAGTATGACTAGACTAAGTGGTCGGTTGGCTCTCGTCTTTAGTTTAGACACTCAGACTCGTTTTTACATAAAATTCACTTAAAAACCGTTGAAGATTTCTACAAAGTGATTTTTATCTCCGTTTTAGAATGTTAAACACACTTGTTTCGAACTAGAGTTACATTTTTTCACTGCTTCTGCATGGTATTTGTCCTTACTCCGGCCCGTGTTGCACTCTTCGTGGGACCAAGTAGTAATCTATTCTTCCATACATATCCCACTTATCATTTACCATTTTTTGCCAAATTGAATCTTTAAGGCTTACATGAAGTTATTTCTGCCTCGAAGACACCATACTTTTTCCGCTTGTGATCGAACATGGCGCCTTCGTCGAAAACCAACATAACTTGTAAATAAATGTATGTAACTCTTTTTCAACTGTGTCACTTTTGTACTGGCTGTACTTTTCTATCGATGATTTTTCTCCTGGTTCAGAAACTTAACAGGTTTCTGTTTGTACATTTGATCTTATAGTTTGTAAATAGATATATTGCTTTGTTGTTAATAAACCGAAAATAAAGAAAGCTGGGAGTGTTGTTAAAACACTTTTTACTAACGTACTTGTAGTCGCAAAACTACTCTCAAGCTGATCTGTTGCCAATTTTTACCTGGAATAATGTGACTGACAGTAAAAACGTGCGTTTCAAAAGCAGCGCTTTTGTAAGCCATCTCCCACTTACTTTGGTATAATAGAGAGTTGCGCCAAAGTTATATCACAGTAGTTTGCTGATCGAACAAGGGGGTGCTTTTTTGCCCAAATTTTATCTAGGCTTCAAATAATGACTTCCTCTGTTTAGCCTTTTCTTCAAATAAAATTGTTTGAAGTTATGTCGAACCTTCATTTTTTTGCCAAGGGTTCATATTCTAATTTTATTTATTTCACCAGTTTAACTGATTTCTGTGAGAAAGGCACAGTTGTTGAGCTTGCAGCTTTGTGTGTTTGAAAGCACTGATCATTCTTGTCGCCTCTTTGATATAATGTTTAGAACCTACGTTGGGCAATATTCCATTCGAGCACTCTCCGCGACGGAGTTCGTATTCTCTTCACTGTTCAAAATGCGTCGTTTTATATTTGAACCTTGGATCTTCAATGTCTAAGAAAAATAAAATCTAAATGCTCTTGTGTTCGCCCTTCATTCCAACCTCTTCCCTTCTGGCAATACTCCCTGCCTCCGCCCACCTCGTCAAATGGGGTAGGTCCGCGCTCCTGGCGGGCGTATCGACGGCGATACTCCACGCGACCCTCCCTCACCCACGCCTTCTCCGCAGCCAGGGCTTTCCACACCGCTCTTTCTTGGAAGTCCATTTCGAGCAGTTTCCTTTCAACACACACGCGAGCGCACACACACATGCTCACACACAGCTTACGGCGTCTCCCTTTGCTAAATTATTCCGAGACAGAGACAACCTTGTCCACGCATTTCTTGTCGGGGTGACTGGCATGCAGCGACTCAATCATGGCCGAGAGCCCTGCGGCGTGGGCAGCCAATGGGCAGTGGCCATGCCGGGGTCATGACGTCACGGCCAGCGCCATTGGCGTGACGCCACCCACACCCATTTGACCAATTTCGCGGTCCACTACATGAAAGTCGCCCTTTCGACCAGTCAGCACGAAGGTTGAGGTGGCACGGATACTCAAACGGTCTTGTGATGCACTCATCACATCCTCTCCGCCCTCTCTGACTCCCCCCCCCCCTTACTTTCTCCTGTCTTCTGTTCCGTGGCTTCCGCCAGCAAACAGCGCAAACTCAAACTGAAGGCAGAGGCGCGGGGGCGCCGACCGACCTGCCGCAATGAGGGCACTACATCTCTTTCTTTCACTGTCCTGTTTTAAGTTGAGCGTACGACACGGAACAACCACGAAGGAAGAGCACAACAAGAAATACACTCTTACACACTTATTTCAACAGTTTTGTGTGAACCGAGCTGCGTTGCATTGCAGAGTCCGAGTACGACGGACTCGTTCTACGACACAGTCCCGTGTTCGACTCCGACCGGAGTGCTCGTTTTTTTCGAGTCTCCGTACTGCTCGGGTGCTCCATTCGGTATTCGTGCAGTTTACGACTCTGGTTTGCCACCCACACAGTCCATCCCTATGACGCTCGCTGTACATCCATTACACTCCCCTCCGCCGCCTTCGCCCCTCCCCTCCCCCTTCTCTCCCACTACTTCGAACCTCCCCTCCACGCCTCGCCGCAACAGGTTGGCCAAAGCGCGGACACGGATCTTTCCATGCATCGCTGTCAAAGCGGAATTAGGTTGACGAATGATTATCCGTAGGGACCTCACAGTGGGCCAGAAGACCGGTGGAGGTGGTCAAAATCCCGGGCGCGTTTTGAGCTCCAGAGTCGCTATACAGGACTCGAACTGACCGTGTGACCGTCAGTCAGTCCCTGCCTGTCCGCCCCCGTCAGGCCGTAGGCACTTCCCTCGGGCCTCGAAGGGCTGGAGGGGTAAAGGGACTGCAGATAGGGTGGCCCGCATTACCTGCGGACCGAACGGGCCTGTTGGGTGCACTTGGAAATAAGACGCTTACCATGTTAATTTGGGCTGTGCGGACCTGCCGGACGGACGGGGCGTGGGACGGCGTGGGCGGAGCGTGGATCGCCCTCCAGAGACGCGGCCGGCAAGGCGAAGGGAAGACTTGTCAAGCGACCTAAAGAAAGGTACAAAGACCGCCCACCCTTCGAGGGAGTGCGTGTTTCCTCCTTGGATCAGACGCGATGGCTGCCTGAACTTCAGCCCAAACCACACTTTCTACACATGTGTTACCGCTTTGACCAACTCCGCGGCACAGGCTCCACCACCTGACGCTTGATAGATACAAATTGTTTCGGGCGTTGCGTTACTCAGCGC